GGAAGTCTGTGTTTATGTGGGTGCCTGGGATGGAGAGGTATCTAGTTCAATGATAAAATTTTTGTCTGGGCTACATGGAATCATGGAATTTCAGTTCTGCCCAGTCCCTCTCAAGGCCCAGCTATTATCATAGAAAAATCTTTGAGTAAGTTGTGCTGTTTCTTCCACAGGACAGTTCATCTGTCATCCAGTTCATGTCCCGCGCCAAGGTGAAGGTGGATCCTGCCCTAAGGGTGGTGGAAATAGCTCATGGCAACCCAGAAGAGGTGACGGTGAGTCAGCCACCCCAGGACAGCCCTCGTCAGAGGGCAAGGGAAGCTGGGTGACTTGGAGACCTGGAGCTGGAATTTGAGGGTCAAGACAGTCTCTAAGCCAAGATGTTGGGTTTGTGGCAGACCCGAGACTATGCCTGCCTTGGCTTCCAGGCCCCCCTGGAGAACTTCTGTGGTTTGTTCTTGTGATAGCATTGTCCTTTAGGATGCCATCATTATGTGAACGTTTCCTGCTATGATTGTCTGGAAATGGTCTGGAAGTACCCCCGCCTCAACAGGGTTGGATTTCCACTGCGGAGCCAGGACTATTTATATCTTTCTTAGACCTTTCCTAAGGCAGACCACATCTGCCTTACCCATCACATTACTCCATGGGTAAATACTGTGTGTTTGGTTTGGTTTGGTTTTTAAGAGACAGGGTCTCACTCCGTCACGCAGGCTGGAGTGCAGTGGCACAGTCATAGCTCCCTGTAGCCTTGAATACCTGGCCTCAAGGGATTCTCTCATCTTAGCCTCCAGAGTAGCTAGGACTACAGGCGCACTACCATGCCTAATTTTTCATTTTTTTTGTTCATTTTTTTGTCAAGATAGGGTCCCACGATGTTGCTCAGGCTGGTCTCAAACTCCTGGCCTCAAGCAATCCTCCTGCCTCAGCCTCCCAAAACACTGGGTTTCCAGGCAAACATTGGGTGTTTTAAAAACAAGTTGTTTGAATGACTTAAAGAGATTACACCCAAATTGCCAAGACCTAGTAACTGCTCTTTAACCCTGTATTTACCACCCCCTTCTCCTCCATAAAGTGCAGTTGGCACCAAGGCCTCCGAGACACGGGAGGATGTGGCAAACCACGAGGCTTATTGTGGAGGTGTGGGAGAGGCTGGAGGAGAGCTGTGGCCTTGGAATTTTATTGCCTTTGATTGTTGTTCTTGCAGGAGCAGGGGGGTTGAGAGGGGGTTCATCCTGTATTTGACGCCCACACTCAGATCCCAGGGGAGTAGAGGAGGAGACAGCAGCCGATGCACTTCTTTTGCCAGTGAGCTATGCAATGATCCTACCTTTCTGCATCCCCTTCTGTGGAATTTACCTTCTCTCAAGGGCGACTTACCCTTTCTTACAAGAGTCAGTGTTGCTGTGACACATTTACAAAACTGACAAGTTTATAATGATTATGTGCTTAGAAACTGTTGTTAACTTACTCTCTGACAACAGTGGAGACACCACATGTCAAAATGTCAGAATGGGGATCAAACCAAAGACCACTCTTACGAGACCCTGGTTGCGAAGGGTTCATATGGAAAATAAATGCTGGGCCGAGGCAGGCAGATCACCTAAGATCAGGAGTTCAAGACCAGCCTGGCCAACATGGTGAAACGCTGTCTCTACTAAAAAATATAAAAATTAGCTGGCCGTGGTGATGGGCTCCTGTAAACCTAGCTACTCAGGAACTGAGGCTGGAGAATCACTTGAAACCAGGAGGTGGAGGTTGCAGTGAGCCGAGATTGTGCCACTGCGCTCCAACCTGGGTGACAGAGTGAAACTCCGTCTCAAAACACAAAGAAACAAACAAAAAAAAAACCAATAATAATAATGATGCTTAGGGACCTCAGTAAAACTTCAGTCCTGCCCATTTTTAGTGAGTAAGAGGTGATAATATCAGTGAGCCTGGGATGAATATGAATTCCTGAATGAGTGAGGGGTGGGCATTCCCTACTCAGTGAGGGGAACGAGTGTTCCATGCAGACTTTTATGCTCTACCCACAAGAGAAGTTGTCCAAGCACTATTTTTGTTCGTTTGTTTGTTTGTTGGAGACAGGGTCTTGCTTTGTCACCCAGGATGGAGTGCAGTGGTGCAATCATGGCTTACTGCAGCCTCTACCTGTCGGCTCAGGCCAGGTACTAATTTTAATAATAGAAACCAAATGGATTGATGCTGGGTCACTTACTACTTACAGTCAGTTTTTCTGGAAGGTCCTATATTTGGAGTTGGCGTTTCCCTTTTCTTCCCTGCCTTCTGGCAATTTGACTGCTAATTCAGACCTCCACCTGGGAAGTGAAAGAGGAAAGTGGTTCCCTGCTCATTGTCATAGTTCTGGCTTAAAAGTTTTATAGCATTAAATACATGCCCAACATGAGAGGTTTAGAATGTTCTGGTAAAACACAGTGTTAATAAGTAGAAGCTAATGGAAATACCTAACAGGTTTTCTACATGTGGAATCCCTTGTGTAGATGAAAAAAAAAAAAAGTACTGGGCATATTGCCTTCCATTATAGGACTAGACTGTGGGATCCAGGAAAATGTTGCTTAACATCTCGTTGGATTCCGAGTCATCTGTACTTCCCCAAAATATCACTTCCATTAATTACTGTTCCAATTTTGAGCACTATGGTGATATTTTCATTATCAAGAGTTCTTGGGAAGAGGCTGAGGTTTTTTTTAGCACTCCCAAGAAAAAATTAACACACATGAGAATCCCACAATGCCCCTTTTCCCTCCTTTTCATGACTTTGCCTTTTCAGTCCATGAGCTACAGTGAAGTTCTACAATCTGTTGTTCTCAATTTTCCTGGCAGGAAAAAAAAAAATCTTTTCTGAGTAGGAAGGTTTGCCTTTTTAGAACAAACACGTTCTTCCCTGCGTGATTCTTCTGAATGTCTGGCCCTCTGTCAACCATCAGTCTGAAGGAGAATTTCCATAAAGGCTCGCCACCAAATTTAAATCAGGCAAAGTTTCAAAGATTTTAGATTAGGCACCAAATTGTTATGGCCTTGGAAGGAACAGGAAATGTACTTATATTGGTATCCAGCAGCGTGTGAGTGGAGAGGAAAACAATCAGATTTTTAACCACATAACGTGTGCATGGTGGTAAATTTAACTGATTGAGAAATCAAGCAATTTTCCTGTGATTTTTTTTAAACAGGAGTTTTAAAGTGCATTTTATATTGAGTAGTTATTTCACGTTTTCTTAAAACAATTATTGTATTGAACTAAAAATAAACAAGGTAGTTTGTTCACATAACAAATCTATATTCAAAGACATGTGTACAGATTTTCCACTTAGTCCATTTTTCTGTTCTCAGCATTACTACAAATGCCTCATTCCATCATCACGTTGAATTCTTCAGTATCTTCTATATCATTCCGGGGCATCTTTGGGAAGTAGTGATGCCTGTCTTCCCTTAGAAGCACACTGATAACCCCAATATACCCACAATTCACACTTTTTTCTTTCTCTGAGGCGTGCTGTTTTTGGCACAACAGAAAAAACACACTACTAGGATTTGAAAAACTGCTTTCTGGGCCTGGTTAGGTCATAAACTATAGAACCTTAGGTCATATATTCTCACCAGGTGCTTGTTTCTCCACTGCAAAAAATAATTCATATTTGCTTGGTCCTTTGTAGTCCTTTACTGTTTCATTTATCTTCATGATGACCCTTAAATTTAAGTAAAGTAGTATTATGCTCATTTTATAGAAGAAATTCAATCTCAAAGAGGATACAGTCTCCCAAAGATCCCACAAGCAGTAATATATTAGGCAGAGCTAAACTCACACCCTCTCACTCAAGATCCTAGTATTGGTACATGCCACGCTAATAAGTGTGCTAAAATGGATGAAGGGGCAATTTCTCAGGTCCCTTCCAATGATCCTGTCCTCTGCTTCTACTTGATATTTTTTCTCTCTTCTCTCAACTAGCGTTAACATCTGAAACTATATATAATCACCAAATTTCATTTACAATGGTTTTTTTATTTAATATTTAAATTTTTCTATTTCCATGTTAAATCCAGAGAAATGTTACTTTTTTGAAAGTTTCTACTGCTGCCTGCCTCTCTGAAGGCCACAGGACTTACCTATTTGTTTGTCAAAGCAGAAATTCCCAACATTTTGTAAACATCACTAATTTTTTTTATAGCTGTAAAGATGATTATTCCATACTTAAAACCAATTCAAAATAAAATACTCAATACTTCTTATTCCCAGGGTAGTAATTTTAATTGGATTCTATTGATTTGTTATTTTCTCCTGTGTGCCTTTATTTGGGAAATACTGTTGGTATACCATGCTGTCGAGTCTCTTTCCCTAACAAGAAAACGTCAGTCTTACGAGTCAGGAAAGCTTTTACTTTCACTATCACATATGAAGAATGAAATAAACACCTAACTTGGAAAGTAAAACTTAAATAAGGGATTCAGGACACTTCCCAAGGGGTCATATGACCAATTTAAGAGTTGGTATGATGTGCCTAAAATAACAAATTAACTCTTTTACTTATAATAAAAGTACAGATGTGCTGATTAGACATGCTGACATGTACATATGAAATATGCCTAAAGCAAATTAAAAGAAAACAAAATACATTCTATGGCAATCTTGAAAAGTCTGGGAGCTCAATAAATATTAAGAGTATGCTCTCGACCTGGCGCGGTGGCTCACGCCTGTAATCCTAGCACTTTGGGAGGCCAACACGGGCAGATCACGAGGTCAGGAGATCGAGACCATTCTGGCTAACATGATGAAACACCATCTCTACTAAAAAATACAAAAAAAAAAAAAAAATTAGCCGAGCGTGATGGCAGGCGCCTGTAGTCCCCACTACTTGGGAGGCTGAGGCAGGAGAATGGCATGAACCCAGAAGGTGGAGCTTGCAGTGAGCCGAGTTCGCGCCGCTGCACTCCAGCCTAGGCAACTGAGCAAGACTCTGTCTCAAAAAAAAAAAAAAAAAAAAAGAGTATGCTCTCACAATGAGAGCATTAAACACTTGGTAATTAACATAATTTAATATGCCAAAAATGAGAAAATATACAGGATGAGGGATGAGGAGTACACATAGGAAATTTTTGTGATTTTCTTCATTTGATTGTATTGCTTGCTTGTCTTCAGGAAGGAAGATTTTGACTTCAAAAGTAACAAAATATTTAAGAAGGAAATTCACATCTTTCTGTTCTAAATGGTATTCTTGTGCTATTTTCTCAGCAGTCCATGTTTCTGGAAAAAATTTATGATTATTGAGAAGTGTCAATGCTTCTACAATGGAAATTTTGCCTTTGGGAATGCTCTTAATATTTATCATACCAAAGTGATGGCCTTTCAGCAATCTGAATTCCTTTGGCTCTTGACGTGTTGTTTCAGAAGCTTTTACCTGCGCGGAAGACACGGGATCTTTGGAATCAACATACACGTCTTTTAGAAATGACAGCAGCTTGTCACCTTTATGAGCAGTCTCTCCCTTCTGGGTAGAGACTAATCTGCTGTCACAGGAGGCTGTTGGTAGAGGACTGCCTGGGAGCAGGAGAGGGCTTCATCTTGCTGATTTCCCATTCCGCTGGGTTCTCTAGGTTGAAATGCCTGATCCTGTGAGTCACCGCAGCCCCCATCTCCTCATAACATAAGGCCCTCAGGTTTATGCCACACATGGGAACACTGGCGCAGGAAACCTCTGGGGCGCCCAGAGCATGCACACGTGTCCTATGATTCTTTATATCTTTTATTTTTATGCCATGGTTCAAGTTGTGCTTTACACAGCATTTGGATGAATAACTAGAAATAGGGCATAGATTCTTGAGGCTTTGCCTGGTTCACTAATGACTGGCTCCAGGGCCTTTCTCAGGGAGCGTGTTAGCATATGTCTAGGATCAGCCACAGCCGGACCTGGCTCTGTACAGACCCAAACCTGAGAATGCCATGTGAGACCTGCGTGACTGCAGAATCAAAGTGCTGGTTGCGAGGTGCCAAGTACATGTTGAATTACATCTTCAACCTAACTCTATTTACCTTTCAGGGAGTGAGTAGGGGGTGAGAGGGGAAAATTCAGAAAGTGTTGTTTGAGGCCCACAGAAACTCTAAAGATGAAGAACAGGAGAAATGTAGTTAATCATGCCCTGGAAATCTGGCCTGCAGAAAGGAAAGGAATTTATCTCTGAGAAGGCCTTCAGAAAGAAAATGAGTAGGCTCTGGAGATGTTCATCTGTCTTCATGCAGCCATAAAAAGATATCAGATGATGTTGAGGGGTGAAGGCGCCTTCTCTGATCCCTGAATTGGTTACTGAGGTCCACAGAAGAGGAAAGGACCCCATCATCTGAGGCCAGGAACTCCCCCAAGGCAAATCAAGACTTTATGGAATCAGCTCTGTTACTGCAAGACATCCCCTCAAACTCCCGTCTTCTCAAACTCCTGTATGAGAAGCGTGCAAGAATTCTTGCTATTTTCTTGATATTTTCAAATAGCGGAATACATGATAAACTTGTAAGTCCACAGATGAGTCCGTAAGCGGCTGCCATGTGGAGTGTGCACCAGACTGAGGTCTTCAGTGCCAGCCGGAAAGACTGGCTCTGTCGCATTTCAGCAGAATCAGAATGGATTTGAAGGCTATCCAGTGGAAGTGCTCAGAATTGCACTGGAAGACTGGAAAACCAGACCGAAAATCAGAGGGATCCGGAAACCTGAGGGCTATAGGCTATGTCCAGGCGCAGGAAGTCTGGCATGGTGTCCTGGACACGGGATACAGCTGTCCCTAGCTTCTCTTCACCTTGTGCTCTGGAGTCAGGCAGAAACATTTCTACTTCCTGGAGTTGCTGAGAAGGTTCAGTGATACCAGCATGAAGCTCCTAGAAGAAGGGCTGGTGCACAGCTGCTGCTTAGGGTGGCACAGCACCTCTGCAGTCCTGCCCACATGTGACTTGCCCTTCCACACCACTCCCTAACACTCCCCACCAAAGATACAAGCCTGGTATCTCAACCAGAGAGGCATCTGTCGACATGGCCAGCAAGATTACTCCACAAAAATGCCACTTACCATTCATTTGGTGGACTGCTTCTAGAGGCAAAGTTTACCGCTTTTACTGTCATGAAATAGACTATGACTTGTTATTTATCCTTTATGTGACCAATTATAGTTACAATCATGTTCCATATGACAATATAATCTTTCCCCCTTGAACCTCACATTATGCTGAGATGTAGGATGAAGAGGAGGGTTGTTGAAGGGTCAACACCACCCCAACGTATGCCATCAGTAGTGGGTGGTGGGCAGTTCTTTCTCCTCACCCACCTCCCCACATGTGAGAATTAAGCTCTGACCATCAAGAATTGAGAAAACTCTCGGTATAGTTTGCCAAACATATGAGTCATATTTTCTAATGGTCATCATTTGCTTATTTGTATGATGAATATTTATTGAGGGCTTGCTAAGAGCCAGGCACTGTGCTAGGCACTGGAGACTCGATGGGTAACAAAAGAGACATGATCCCTGGCCTGCCCTCCCGGAGTTGGCCGAGGAGGCAGCAGTCATCAAGGATGCAAACAAGGATTCTATTTCTAGTTGAGGTTAGTCCCCAGGGAGTAGCCTGCTTTAGATTGGGGGTCGAGGAATGTTTCTCCAAGGAAGCTGAGACTGGCAGATGAGAAGGAATTCACTTGCCAAGCGTGAGGAAGAGTGTCCCAGTTGGGGAGGAGAGTTGTATGGAGCCCCAAAAGGCTTGGCCTCTTCAAGGCACAGAAAAACCAGGTAGCAGGAAGCTGGTGAGCAGTGAAGAGAACCACGGTGGACCTAGGCAGGGTCCACCCCAGGTAACACCACTGGGCCGTTACAAAGGAAAGCCATTGAAAGCTTCTGTTTGGAGCAGGGAATGGCATGATCCAATGTATGTTCTTTAAAAATGATAGGCCATTGTGTGGATGGTGGGTTGTAGGGGCAAGGGTGGAAATAAGGAGCTGGTTAGAAGGCTGTGACTATCACCTGGCAAGAGGTCAGGGTGGCAGAGGAGACAGAGCAAGTGGACAGTATGTCTATTTCATTGAAGGTGCAGTGACCGGTGCCAGTCACATGTAAGGAATGCTTATCCTGGAGGACTGGGAGGGATCCAGTGTCATCTCGATGCAAAGCCTCTTGCATGGCACATCCACAGGGGCACTCTGTTGATAGTGGCTGTCATTGCATAAAGAGATGGCCAAGGAGATGAACCACATGAAAAATGAGCCTTTTTCTCCCCAAATCTTCAAGTCCTGGTCAGTTTACTCTAAATCAGAGTTTCCAGTCATCATCATGATTATCATCATCATCATTATTTTTAGGCGACGGAACCCATTTCTAAATTGAAATGTGCTTTGGTTGACTCAGGGGTTAGGTTCCTGGAACTCCCTCCTGTTGGCTTCCATACCTGCTCACTGGACCCCTGGGCTCTAAAGAAGCCACTGCTATGGAAAGTTGTATTTTCAGAAGGTTACCCAGTTCATCAGAGGCTTTCACTAGAGACTAGTTATACCCCCAATAACTATGAACAAAATGAAATTTTTACCCTCAAGACTTCCACAGCCCCAAACAGGTCAACACACATATACACACACGTGCACACACACACACACCCCTGCAGCACTGTATGCATATGTGCCCAGAGTATCTGTACTAAAGAGGTCAAGACAGGCTTCACAGAAGGAGTGACCCCTGAACAAGTATTGAAGGAATTTCCCACGTGGACAAGGAGGATCAGGCATTCAAGATGAAGTCAGATGGTATCTTGGGCTGGATTCTCAAGAAGCAGACCCTGAAATGAGGGCATCATGTAACTAGTTTAGTTAGAGAGGTGCTCCTAATGAGACTGGAAATAAATGGGACAGGATAGGAAAGAGGAGAAGGGAAGCAAGAGTGAGATCTCAGGGAGCATCTTAGCCTCATCCTGATCCTGACCTCGGAGTTGGTCCTACCTGGAAGCAGGGGAGCTGGACTCTCACACTCCTGTATCTGCCAGTCATTGGTTGGGGCTGCTCCAGAGGTAGTAACCCCAAGGCACTTTACCCTCTAAAAGTAAGGCAGCCTCTAGAAGTGAAGGCATGAAAAACCTGGGGGCTGTGCAGGCCGAAGCAAGAGAGGGGACCTGAGAGGATCTGGGCAGAGAACCGAGTCTTGGCCACAGATGGAAATGTTCTCCACTTGAAGCCTGGGTGCTCTGCTCAGTGTGTGTGTCTGTGTCCCCTTAAGATGAAAGACCTCATTGTGTGAGGTGTGCTCGAATCTGCCCAGTTCCTGTGAAGTGCTGGGCATGTGCTATAATTACCTCCTGTGACTCTGACATTGCCCCTGTGAACTAGGCACTATGACTTCCATTTTCTGTTGACGAAATGGAGGCTCTGGGAGTGAAGAAGCCTGCCGGATGTCCCACAGCTGGTCAGTGAAAGAGCCAGTTCTGGCCACAGCTCTGCCTGTTGGCGAGCCCTGAGTCTCCCTTGACCCCTTGCCTCTCTGGCTTGTGCTGTCCCGTAGCCCAGAGCCCACACACAGAGCAGGTGGGAGGAATCGCATTCCTGGGTGGTAGACAGCTGATCTTCTGTTTTAGGAGTGACCCTTGGCTCTAAGGGCCTCAGGAGCACATCATGCTCAGACTATTTGGTGGTCAGTTGGCTTTGGAACTCTTCCCATTGTGTTCTGATCCTTAACCAGATGCACAGATGTGCAGTCAAGGGGAGAGTTCTCCATCGCTTCAGGTAAATGAGCTCCATCTCCTCTCTCTCTAAAGAGCAATGTGAGGATTATGGGGAGTAGTAGATCGGAAACCTCTCAGCATGGTGCCTGGCGCATCGTAAGTACTCTACAAATGTGATCTGTTACCAATAACAGAAATTAGCAGAGCCCAGCTCATTCCTCTGCAAATTCTGACAGAGCAAGGGATTTCGGAAACGTGACACCTGGCAGGCACAGGGCATGTTTAATATCTGTGTTCATCACAGCACAGACTTACAGTGCCAATCTTGCCAAATGCACAGTTTATTTTTTGTTCATTTATGTCACCTCTGTAAGTCTCCCTGTGCCTCTGAACTGGCTTGCTTTCCAGGCTGAGTTCTGAGAGCCATCGGAGGCATGGTTCTGCTGAAAACATTTCTTCCAGCCCCAACCACCCTGTCTCCCTCCTCTCTCCCCCATACCTCCACTGGCTATTAGATGGAATCAGAAGCAGGTGGAAATGTCATCTCACTGCCACGGATGTTCTTCTCTTTCCACTTCTTATTTTACATAAATTCCTTCCTTCTGTTGAGACAAGTGTGTGATGTTGACAGCAGAGAGCATCTTGCCCTTGTCTTTGATCTTTAGCTGGTCTAGGTCTGGAGTTGAACCTCCTCTTAGATGATATTGACTAAGCTGTCCCCCATCTCTGGAAGCTCTCCATCCAGCAGAAGCCTGGGCAAGATGTACAGCCATTGTGGTCATATTCTCAGGCCTTGTGGAGACATGGGCATTGCCAGCTGTTACAGTAGGTATATTTGCATTGATCAGAACATGAAAGTTTCCAGAAACACAGAAGTGAATCAAATAGTGTGATTTAGGTTCACCCACTGCCTCAAACTGGAAGCTGGCTTCTGGCCACTCCCTGACGCCAGCTTGCCAACCTCAGGTGCATTAAACTGTACAGCAGGCAGGGTGCCAGTGTCTGGACCTGCCTCGAAGGCCTGTTTGCCCTCCTCAGAGGCCTCCTTGAGACAGATCCTCATACTCCTCATTTTCGTCTGTTTTGTTGGTCAACATCCAGTGTGTGAGCCCTCCAGCCAGGGTCCATCAGCCATCCCTTCACTGGCCAGAGCTCCTGCCTTCCCCAGCTCAGCGTGCTACAACCCTCACAACCACTCCCCCAAAACCAGCAGACTTCTCCTCAGTCAGTCTTCTCCTTTCACACCACCTTCTCTCTTATTGAAACCATGGATCTAACCTGGTGAAACCATTTCCCCTGCAGCCCTCTCACGGGGGCTGCTTTTTCCTTGTACTCCCACATGCAGTTATCCCTTCTGATCTAGATTCATTTTGCAGTGTACTTTGCAAAATGAAAATCACATCACTTCCCTGCTCAAAACCCTCCAGTGGCTTCCCATTCCTCTTAAGGTAAAGCATGGAGATCTTACTGCGGCCTCCAGCTCCTGTCTGTCCAAGCACATCATGAACATCTTCCTGTGGCTTCTTGTTCATCCTGTTGGCTTCAGTCCACTGGCCGATGGCAGTGTCTCACCCTTGCCAAGTTCACTCATGCCAAAGGGGGGTTGCACATCATGTTCCCTCTCCTTGGAATGATCTTCCCTCCCTTGTTTAGCTGGTTAACTTCTGCTTGTCCTTTCACCTTCAGCTCAAATGGCTCCTCAGGGAACTCTGTTCAGTCCCATGCCTCTATCATGAGGATCTTTTATCATCATGAACTCCTCCTTTGTAGCACTTCGACAGTTATAATGGTGCATTTATTTGTCTAATTGGTTAGTAGTCTCTAGAAGCTGGAAGTACTGTGAGGGCAAAGACTGCCTGTTTTATTCATCAATGAATTTCCACAATGTCTAGCACATAGAAGATACTACAGACACATTTGTTGCATGGATGGATGGATGGATGGATGGATGGATGGATGGATGGATGGACGGACGGACGGACAAACAGAGTAGATGGACAGATTGACAGATAGGTGGTGGATGGGCAGATGGATGGATGGATGGATGGATGGCCAGGACTCCCCCAAAGGATATAACATGTAACATTTGCAAGTATATTTTTGAAGGAGAGGGAAAATAATCACACTCAGAGACTCCAGCTTCAAATCCTACCATCTCTTTTGTTGCAGACTAAGTCGTGTTCACACTTCATCTGATTTTATAGCAGAAATGATGTTGAATGTATTAATTGATATATTCATGAATCATATAATGAATCAATGCCTTGGTTCAGGTAACAGGAATGCATGCATTCACGTCTTTGTTGTATACAAATTCACAGTTTACTGGAGTCCATAGACAGGAAGATTCATCATTACCTTAGAGAGTGAGAAGGACCTAGAACTGGGACTATGAAGTATCCAGCTGTGGTTTTAAAACTCTGTTTTGTTGGAGCCATGGGTTTCCTTGAGTTGGTTTAGGGGCTGCTGAGACCAGGTTAGGGAGGAACAGGGCTTAGAAAGAGGGGCTGGGCCAGGTGCAGTGGCTCACACCTATAATCTCAGAACTTTGGGAGGCTGAGGCACACAGATAACTTCAGCCCAGAAGTTCAAGACCAACCTGGGCAACATGGCAAAATCCTATCTCTACAAAAAAATAATAATAAAAATTAGTTGGGTGTGGTGGTGTGTGCCTGTAGTCCCAGCTACTTGGGAGGCTGAGGGGAGAGAATCACTTGAGCCCAGAAGGTTGAGGCTATAGTAAGCCAAGATTGTGCCACTTCACTCCAGTCTAAGCAACAGAGTGAGACCCTGTCTCCAAAAAATAAAAACAAACAGGGGCTGAGTAAGCTGGGTTCTAGCTGCCTACCTAAGAAACTCCACTTATATACATTGGGATGCTACAGTAAGTTGAAAATGACTATGTTTCCAAGAGCTCAGAGAATGATTAATTCCGCTGAAGATGGGGAGCAAGGCAGACTTCTTGGGAAAGGAGATATTGGAGCAGAGTCTGTCCTTTAAAAAAATAAAATGGTTTTACTTGCCTTTAAAATGCTCAGTTTAAAAAATAGTAAAAAGTAGAAAAGAGAAATGATATTCATAATATCAAAACACATCCATTTACTTTAAAGAATTCCTACTATATTTCTGCAAAGCTGAAGTCTTCTGTGTTTTAGATAATCTTCTCATTTTTTATTTTTTAATTTTTTTTTGAAACAGTCTCGCTGTGTCACTCAGGCTGGAGTGCAGTGGCACAATCTCAGCTCACTGCAGCCTTCACCTCCTAGATTCAAGTGATTCTCTGCCTCAGCCTCCCAAGAAGCTGGGATTACAGGCATGCGCCACCACACATGGCTAATTTTTGTATATTTTGTAGAGATGGGGGGTTTCACCATGTTGGCCAGGCTGGCTTGAACTCCTGGCCTCAAGTGATCCACCCTCCTTGGCCTCCCAAAGTGCTGGAATTACAGGTGTGATCCACCACACCCAACCTATTTATTTTATTTTATTTGTTTAGTTTAGTTTGGTTTAGACCAGGTCTTGCTCTGTCACCCAGGCTGGAGTGCAGTGGCACAGTTACGACTCACTGCAGCCTCGATATCCCATGCTCAAATGATCCTCCTGCCTCAGCCTCCCAAGTAGCTGGGATGACAGGTGCACGCCACCATGGTCAGCTAATTTCTGTGTTTTTGTAGAGACAAGGTCTCACTATGTTACCCAGGCTCATCTTGAACTCCTAGGCTCAAGCAACCCTCCCACCCTGGCCTCCCAGAGTGTGGGATTATAGGCGTGAGCCAGCATCTTCTGATTTTTTAACTTAGCATAATAAACATCATTTTCCCATATTATTACTGTTTTCAAAAGTCTCTAAAATTTGGCAATCAGGTAAAAAAATGATTACATATCCTTTCAGTGTCATACTGGAGCATCCCCTCGCCCCTTTCTACTCAAAGTGTGGTCCACGGACCAGCAGCATCAGCATCATAGGGGAGATTATTTGAAATCTAGGCTCTCAAGCCCCACTCTAGACTCTAATTCAGAATCTACATTTTAACAGAGTTCCTCCTGTGATTCTTACACACAATAAAATTTGAGAAGCACTGGTCTGCAGGCCTGCCTAACCCTCCAGGGCCCAAATTCTGTGAAGTTACATATTAACTTATAGAAGGCTGATAATTTATAAATGACTCTCGCCAGTAAAGACAAAAATGATTTCTGTTTGACTGAAAATATCCCAAAGGTTAGAGTTTACTGCCTTGTAGGGTATTAGCCAGTTTTGTACTTGATTTAGTAATCTGATTTCAGTAATTTTTTTCCTATGACTACACATTTTTTTCTGGTCTTTTTAAAACTAGCTTTGCCACCCTGCTGACTTCCTCAATAACAAATTAAATAAATCTTTGCCATGTATTCACTATATATTTGTATGAGAATCATGTTTTTAACTTTTTGAAAATTATGCTTTGACAGTCAGCTTTACTGTCATCATTTTTAATAGTTCTGTGATATTCTATTTTGTGATCGACCATAGTTTATTTATTTATTGCCCTGATGTTAGACACTTAGGATATTGCTAATTCAGCACCAATATAAATAATTCTGCAATGAACATCTTTGAGCATAAAACTTTTTCCATATTTTATATTTCTTTCCTTTGAGTAAAGTTTTCAAGTACAGAATTAATGGATCAAAGGGTATGAACATTTTTTTTTAATTTTTTATTTTTTTAAGACAGAGTCTTGCTCTTTCACTCAGGCTGGAGTGCAGTGGCGCCATCTTGACTCACTGCAACCTCCGCCTCCTGGATTCAAGCGATTCTCCTGCCTCAGCCTCCCGAGTAGCTAGGACTACAGACATATGCCGTCACTCCTGGCTGATTTTTGTATTTTTAGTAGAGACGAGGTTTCACCATGTTGGCCAGGCTGGTCAAGTATGAACATTTTTAGATGAGCAATAATGAGCTTGTCAGATGGGCAAGGATGGAAGGGCATTCCAGGAGGCAAGAGGAGCCTGCAGAGAGGCTGGGGACCACCAGTCTCACAGAGGAGAGATCTCTACCTGGCTAGAATGTAAATATGTGTCCTGGGAGCAGCTGGAAAGGCAGAAAGGAGACCAGAGTATGAAGGCCCTGGTGTCCTGAATTAGATGCTCAGCCTGAAGGAAAATCATGGACACTGTAAACCAGAAAGTGATGTGATGAGACCTGTGCCTTAGAAAAACAACTCTAACAGCAAGGAGGCCTTTCCAAGCCTCCTGTAATAGTGCTGGTGAGAGAAGACGAGATGTGAGCCAGGAAGTACCTGGGATGGAAACAAGAGGATGGAGAGAAAAGTTGTTTAGAAAGGTGTAGGGGCTTAACCAGGATCAGCCGGCTCATTGGTGGTGACGACGGGTGGTGGTGATGAGCTGATCATCAGTGCTTCTTGCCTCTCCATGTCGTCCATGCTGCTGTTCCTTCCTTGGAGTTTTGTTTTTTAATCTAAGATATGACTTCCTAGAGCTGCAGGACACTCAGCTCATCACTCACAGATGAGTTTGAGAGTTGTGATGTGAGAGAACAGGCTCTGCCAAAGCATGGAGCATGCATCCGAGGGGATGGACAGCATCCCTAAAAATAATAAGAGATGAAGCCCACATTCTGGGGAAGTGACAGGGCATTCTTGTGGAACTTGCCAGACTAAACTGTAGCTGCTACTTTAACCTCTGTGTCCACAAAGCCAGACCTCCAACGTGGCTTTGCTGCTATGCAGATGTCAGTGTCCCTAAGAAGTCATCTGGGTTAGCACAGGGTGCTGGGCTTTACAGCTAACCCCACTGAGCTCAGTGTTTCAGTCTGATTCATAGTCAACAATAAGGTTTAGCAAACTTTTCTCACACCCAGGCACTTTCACAGAACTGCCACATTTCCCTATCAGACCCCCATTTCAGGGAGAAAGAGAAAGTTGGTTGTCTACGGTTGCACCAGGACCAGATTAAAGCCAGCACTCTTCCCTCTGCATCTTTCCTAACAGTTCCTCACAGTTCATCTGTACAAGACACCATGAGAGATTCTGAATGCAGGAGGTGATTTGATCCACAGCTTTTTAGGGGCAGGAACCCAAAGACATGAATCTGTCTGCCTTTAAAGATAAGAGCTGCTCATTTGAACTACATAGAAAATAGTGGATTTAGGATGACAGACATCAGAGCTCACTCTGTCCCACACTTCCTACCCATAAATATTCTTTCCTGAGAATTGCCTACTGTCTGAAAATTGCTCTTTTTAAAAGCCCCAAGCTGGAAACAACCTCCATGTGCTCATCAATAATAGCATGAATAAATAGTGGCATGTCCACACAGAGGAATACTATACAGCAGTGAGAGTGGACATGCCACAGCCTGGAGCAATTTCCCAAACATAACAGTGAGAGAAAGAAATCAGATACATGCCTGTAATCCCAGCACTTTGGGAGGCTGAAGCAGGTGGATCACCTGAGGCCAGGAGTTCGAGACCAGCCAGGCCAACATGGTGAAACCCTGTCTCTATGAAAAATACAAAAATCAGCCAAGTGTGGTGGCAGGCACCTGTAATCCCAGCTATTTGGGAGTCTGAGACAGGAGAATTGCTTGAACCCAGGAGGCAGAGGTTGCAGTAAGTCAAGATTGTGCCACAGCACTCCAGCCTGAGCAATGGAGCAAGACTCCATCTCAAAAAAAAAAAAAAAAAAAAAAAGAGAAAAGAAAAGAAACCAAGTACTGTAGTTCGTACAGTGTCATTCCATTTATAGCAAGGTCCCAAAAAAGCAGGTGATGCTAATCCAAGCTGTTAGACATCCTTGGTGGGGGTGGGGACTGGAAGGAAGGGGGAAGGTAGCTTCTAGGGAGGTGATCACCTTCTGTTTCTTGATCTGGGTGCTGGTTACACACATGCATTTAGCATTTGGTATGTGAAAATTCAGCGAGCTGTACACTTAGGATACCTATACTTTTCTCTATGTATATTCGACTTCAGTAAGTAATTTTTAAAAAGTAAAAAGCGCTGGGAGTGGTGGCTCATGCCAGCACTTTGGGAGGCTGAGGCACAAGAATCGCTTGAACCCAGGATGCAGAGGTTGCAGTGAGCTGAGATTGCGCCACTGCACTCCAACCTGGGTGACAGAGAGAAACTCTGTCTCA